ATTTTCATTTCTAGTATTACGTATTTCTGGCTTCTTTATTTGTTGATCAGTTCTGTCAGATTAGTCTATTTTATTAGCTATTTTTCAAAGAACCAGCTTTTGGTTTTGTTGATGGTTGCTATTGTTTTTTAGTTTTATTTTTTTCAGTCATTTCTGCTTTTATCTTTTTTTAAATTGTGGTAAATATATACATATATATGTATACATAAAACATTTGCCATTTCAACACTTCTTTTCACGTACATTCAGTGACATTATTTATATTCGCCGTGTTATGTAATCATCACCATTATCCATTTCCAAATTTTTCCGTTTCCCTTAATAGCAACTCAGTGCCCCCTAAGCAATGATTCCTCCTTACCCCTCCTTCCTACGCCTGTCTGCTTTTATCTTTAAAAATATCTTTCTCCTACTTACTTTGGATCTATTCTGTTGTATCATTCAAGCTACCTAAGCTCTTATTTATTTTTAACCTAGGTGATCTGCCAGAGACTAACAGAGGTATATTAAAATCTTCCATGATGACTGTAACTTTATTAATTTTTTAATGTTTCTAGCAGTTTTTATTTTATTCCTGCTATGTTATTTAGCATGGAAAGTTTTACTGTGGATTGATTCCACATTTTATTAATATAAAAGAATCATCTTTTCCTTCCCTTATGAAATGTGGGAGAAGGTCTCAAATTTATCTTGTAATAAACTGAATTCATTTTTCCGTGGTTTACCATCTTCCCTTCATTGCCTCCATTCCATTTTTAATTGGGTGATCATGTTTTTCATCTCTATTCAATCTCTCCTCATCTCATATTGCTCTGTTTTCATTATTGCTTATTTTTGTATCATAAATATAATATTCTCTCAAATCCTGTTAAGAATACAAACTAGGAGCTTTGAATTTTTTTCTTTGTTGCTTACAGGAGGATAATTAGCTCTGATTCGTCCAATAGTTCCCCTTCTTCTGGTCTACTGAATATTTTCACATACCCAGCTATTTTTCTTGTTGACACACCATTACAGAGGGAGAATGGAAACATCCAGTAGTCTGTCAGGGAGCAGAAGAGCTAAGCCAAAAGAAGCCATAGAAGGAGAGTATCTCCTCAGTGCTAAAGAAAGTGTGTGTGTATGCGTGTGTGTGTGCGTGTGTGTGTGTGTGTGTGTGTGTGTGTGTGTGCATCATTGTGCAGCCTTTTCTCCAATGAGCAAGACTACTCTTGTTAGGCATGAGCCATGGCAGTGCCCTGCTTTACCTGGCTTGCCAACAAAAGCCAAGTGAAAGCCAGAATGTCATGTCAAGAGGTAATCATGGCTGTAGACCTAGCACTTCCAGAAAGGCTGGTAGGATTGAAGTTTGGTCCCTGCCAATGGACCCTAGGTTCTGCTCCTCTGAGCTAGGTTGTCTTAGGTGCGTTTTTTTCTTAAGGTTTCTACCACTTAATGTATAGGCAGGATTTCACTTCATTTATGTCAACTGTGGTTTGATTAGCTCCTTTCTCAATCTGGAGTCTTTCTGGGGTGTTCCACTTGTTAGAAATTCCTTTAAGTTGTACGTGAAAGGTACCCTTCCCTAATTTTCAGTGCTGAGACCACATTTCCCTGTTTTTATATTCCTTTTAGTCATTACTGTGGGAATCTAAAGAGGATGTAGCTATATGCAGATGCTTTATTTGCCATCTTAAGCAGGAAGTTGCCTTTCAATACTATCGCATTTAAAGGCCCTTCCTGTCTTGCCAATGGCAGGGTAGCAGCAAGGGATACCTAGCGGGGACCAGAACAAAAGGAGTTGGGTGGTTCTGGGATACAAGGTGGGGTGAGGGGGAGTAAGGTTAAAGAAATTAACAGTTGTTAAGGGTAAGGAACAGGGTAAGAACAGGCATGGGGTCACAAATGCATAAAGACAGGCAAATTTCATGGGTCATAAATACAGGACTATATAGAAGGTTGGTATGTTTGAACTGTGGTACTGCTGAAGAATACTGAATATACCATGGACTGTCAGAAGAATGAAAAAATCAGTTTTAGAAGAATATAACCAAAACGTTCCTTCGAAGAGAGGATGGCAAGACTTTGACTCGCTTACGCTGGACACATCATCAGGAAAGAGCAATCGCTAGAAAAGGACATCATGTTTGATAAAGTTGAGGGTCAGCGAAAATGAGACAGATTGACATAATGACCACAACAATGGACTCAAACATACCAACGATCATGAAGATGGCACAGGACTGGGCAATGTTTTGTTCTATTATATACAAGGTTGCCATGAGTTGGAGCTGACTCAACAACAACTAAGAATAACAACACAGGTTGGGAGGGTTCGTCGGACACATGAAATACTGTATCTTGGGAGACATGTAAGGTGTGGAGGAGGTGGAGGCCTCCTAGGTCAGGAGTTCAGGTGGGCATCTGCACTTCTTTGGAGGGGCAGGCAAGTCCTCAGCATTAGGAGTACACCAGCATTCTGGCAGGTGAGTCCATTACACTAGGGCCAGGCAAGATGGATTTGGAGGTGACTCGGATCCCTAGTTTCCTTTTGCACATATTCCTGTCAAGGTAGACAAGAATGTCATGTTCAATAGCTGCAGCTGACTGTGGTTGTGGGGCAGCTCTGAATCCCACTTGGGAAACTATAGCTGTGAGTTTCTTTTAGTTCTGAAACAGTTCTGGTATCTATTTGTGTCCTAGAGCAAGGGGTCCTGAGGAGACGAGCTTGGAAGAAGAAGAGGATCCATGATACCACCCTGATCTCCCATGTGCCTTCCCCTCCCTTCCTCAGGGCCAGTTCTATAGAAGGGGCCCTTGAATGGCCCTTCAGCTAGGTCAGAAGCCACAGCCCAACCATCTGAGGAGTGTACTAAAGAGACTTAGACACAGGAGGAGGATGCCCTTGGCCTAGAAGGCTTAGCGCAATATTGGAAAGCTAGCGCCCTTTACCTGCTGGGTTGCAGGGCCAGCTGGGTAGGTGGCGGCAGAGAAAAAGTCTGAAGTCTGCCTAAGAAACATAGAATTCAGCATCCCTCTGCCCCCTAACTCTGCAGGATTACCTGGAGTCTTGCATCATGCCTGAGCCCTCCCTGACCTCTGACTTGGGTTTTATGCCTTGTGTCCCTCCCTTCTTATCCAGCCTTGGAAAGCCTTTCTTCTATCTGTCTATTAATCTTCTCACCTGATCCTGAGGCCAGCATCCTGACAGTGCAGTTGTCTCTGTCTTAGGTGCTACTCTGAATCTAGACTACCCCAGTGAAGATGCTCTAGCACTGGCCATACACCATGTGACCCCCAGCAACCTAGGAGCCATTTCTGCTGGTCCTATCAGCTGCATGCACAGGGTGGCTGCTCATACTTCCTTCAAAACATGAAAATGGTAACATGCCACAAAGATGCTTTTTTCTGCAGGGCTAACAATAGCCCTCTGCATCCAAGAAGGCCTCTTCATTGCCCAGCTCGCATCCCTTCCATCTGGACCACTACAGAGTAAGTCATCTGGCCCTGCTGTCCCTGGTTGTGTCCTCTGAGATTCTACTGTTCATGACGAACAAATGGGTGGAGAGCACTGAAGGGTGAGGGGGATGACTGAAGACATGGTGCCAGGAAGGGTATAAAGCCCTGGTCTCATGCTCGCTCACAGGGAGACGCATACTTTTTTGCGTGTATGGGGAACTTGAACATTGAAAGCAGAGTTTAAGAAGCCAATGATAGGGCCCTGAGCTCCACTGAGATTGTTCTGTCCTATTTCATGCACACCCAGTCCCAGGTGGCCATCTCACGAGTGCCTCCTCTTGGGTTCAAAAAGGTTAGGGAAGAGTGAAAAATACCTTCCAAACACACACTCATGCACACATACATACGCACACATGTGCACACACGCATGCACACACACACACACACACACACACACACACACACACACACACACACCCCTGAGAACACATGTCCCAGAGGTTGGGTCAAGAGTATCATCTGTGCGTAAGAATGACAACACTAAGCACTTCACCACACATGGACAGAATACTAAAGGATGAAGAATGTAATGCTTTCTCTTTGGATTTTCCAGCATAGTGACCTCTGGTTGTTTCAACTTTTTCTAATGTCAGAACTTAGCTGGCTACAGGGAATACAACTATATTTAGAATAAGCTAAAATAAAGTTCCTTGGCCTAGGATGAAAATGGTCACACTCTGTATGAGATTTTCCTTATAATCCATTTTAATAAGAGAGCTCTTTAATAAAGTCTTCAAAGTCAACTCTTTGATCTTTATTGGAGAAGCCCACTTAATGACACCTACGCAAAGAAACGTAAGACACATATATGCTCAGTGTCTTAACAACTCTTTCTCTGTCACCTCAAATCCAAGTCCTAGCATTTCTTTCTCTTAGGTGTATCTTGAATCCACTTTCTTGAACCCCACTACCATACATAGGCCATCACCACTGCACGTTGAGGTTACTGCAATAGCCTACTATTCTATCGAAATGTGTGCTCAAAAGATGCACAAGTGCACATGTACAAAATACACTGAGACAAGTATGTGATAAGACACAGATCATCAAACCCAAATAAATACATAGACACAGATTCACACACCTGTGGGAACATACACAGCAAAGCATCTATATCCACAAATACATATCTATACACGCACACACACATTCTATTAGCTCGTCATTATCCGTGTTGATGATCAAGGTTTACAGTGGAAAACTTGATCCACTGGCCATTCCAACTGAATTTAGTATTGTTTCTTATAACGCAGTCCACACATACTCAATCATACATGCATTTAAGTGCAGTCACCCCTTGAGAAAACATAAAGCCACATTTTTAGACACTCACGGATCCTTCTCTTTTAGGTCTTCATTTTCTCCCAGAGGAGTGAGGATAATATCCTGGGACTCAGGACGGAGGGAGCAAGTCCGTAGATAATTCCCAGAGTTAACAGGTGAGGGCTGACCACACGTTTGCACACTGTACATACACACTCTGTGAAATCTATCCACTTTACCTTGAGGACATCTCCTTCAGAGAGTTCAAATGCCTTGGCTTTAAGCTGAATTCCCTTCCCTGGCTGGGTCTGGATGGAGTAGATGCATTCGTGGTTGTTATTGTAGTTCACAGGGAAGTTGGGAGACAGCAAAGTACCCTGAGTGCCCGTGACTGAACTCCCACACTCAGCTGGAAAGAGAACCACAATAATCACAGATTAACCCCCATCCACTGCATGCGGGAAACAGAACTCACAGCTCCGGACGACCTTACAAAGATGGCAACTGTTCACCTGCCTACCTGCCAAAATGCCTCTTTACCTGCCCATTTGTCTGCCTGTCTGTAAGACTGCCTATCAAGCTTTCAAAATACCTGCCACCCGAACTGCTGCCTGGTTTCTTATCTGTCTCCTTCCGTCTGTCTGTCTGTCTCTATTCTGCAGAAATAAAAACGAACCTCCCAGGCACCCTTTACTTTCACAGTAAAAGCAGCCACTTCCCACACCTATTTGTATAGTGTCATAGCAACTGAGGTGACGGAGGAGGATGCGAGAGGAACAGGGGGCCGGCCAAGTGAGGAGAGATGAAGTCTTTTCAGTATCAGAGGATAGAAACTAAGCAGGGGACAATATCGAATAATAATCACTAGCATCTTCTGAGCCTTTCTATGCAAAACACCATGATAAACACTTTACAAGTGTCTCTTCAGTTATTTGTCACAATAACCAGCCCCACAGGCTAGGTATTATTATCATCTCTGTGTTAAGGATAAAGAATGTGGGGCTTAGCAGTTTAGATCAAGTCTCTTAATTCATGAAGAGGTGGGGCTGAGATCTCAAACTCTGTGGTCCTTGAATTAAGGGCTCCCAAGGCTTCTTGTTGGAGCCCTGATGGTGCAGTGGTTAAACATTCAGCTGCTAACCAAAAAGGTCAGCAGTTCAAACTCACCAGTTGCTCCTTGGAAATTCTATGGGGGTAGTTTCACTTTGTCCTGTAGGGTTGCTATGAGTTGGAATTGACTTGACAGCCATGGGTTTTTTTTTTTGTTTTTTAAGGCTGCTTGTTAGCTGTCATTCAGTTGGCCCCTGACTCATGGTGACCTCATGCATAACGGGATCCGATATTATGATCCATAGGGGTTTCCTTGGCTGATTTTCAGAAGTAGATTTCCGGGCCTTTCTTCCTAGTCTGTCTTAGCCTGGAAACATCATAGCAACATTCAAGTCTCCGCTGACAGATGGCTTGTGGCTTCACTTGAGGTGCACTTGCTGGGAATCTAACCCAGGCCTCCTGCATGGAAGGTAAGAATAGCCACTGTCTTCTTCCCTCCCACCAGGGTTAGAAGCAAGTTTTAGCATAGAGGTATTGAAGACTTGTTTCATTCAACAGGTAATGAACTCACTCCCTCTTCTCGAAAAGTCTGTTTCTCCTCCTACAAAATTAGTTATTCTTTCCCCATCGTTCCCACAGAACGTCTATACACCTTTATTTATAGCATTTATCACATTTTACTTGAATTCTTTGTTAATATTTCTAGCTCCTCCACTACACTGTGGGTCCTTTGGGACTTGGTCATATCTCTATATCCCAAGCACCCCCTCAGTGTCTGGCACAGGGCAGGCATCAGCAGATGAGTGGGGAGGAAGCTCAGTGGTAGCATAAGTGTTATAGAAAATGAGGCCTGCAGTTGGATCTCTAGGGTCTTAAATACTTATGAAGTCTCTCCTTGCATTCTAAAAGCTCCTTGAGCCTCCCTGCATCACAGCACCTACCACATTGTTCCATGATTGCTTGTCACTTGCATCTATCCCTCACCCAAATTGTGAGCTACTTGAGGGCTGGGGCCATTCTTTATTCATCAGTGAATCTCCAAGGCTTAGCCCAGATTGTCCATAAAATAAATATTTGCTAAAAAAATGAATGAATGAATATGGAGTACACTGACCTCAGAAGATGTACAGTCCTAAAAATAATTAGGTTCCGGAAGGATTTAAATACAAGTCCAGATGGTGAGCCCATTATTTGTCTGGACATATGGGGAGTTTGGAGTGTGTCCTGAATCTTTGAGGTTGATGGTAGGAATTCTGCTTTCTCCAAACCATCTCTCAGTGTCCTCATTCTGGTTGGAAGGACAATGAAGTCAACCAAGAGGACATTGCTTTGACCACATATTCAACCCTAATTACCCTCAGCCGAGAGTGTATTTGAAGACAGTGACTATGTCCCACCACCAAGTCCCTATTTTTTAGATGTGCCCTGAGATCTATCTAGTTCAGGACCAGCTTCAGTTGCCTAAGACTTTATGTAAGCCATCATTTGTCTTGAAGAAGAAATCTAGTATTGTGATATTTTAAACTCAGCCCGTTTGCAAAGTGACCAAATATTCACGATGAATGTGCTCGGCTGGGTTATAAAACTAAAGGGACAGTGGGGGACAGGCACCCAAGGGGCAGTGTCAGCTGATGATTTAGGTAGATACGTTTCTACAGTGTATAAATTTTGGGGGTGAAGCCTCTGAGAAGAGGGTTTTTGGTTGGGGGTGTGTGTGACTGAGGGCAATACACATTTAGACATTTAGTACTCAGTCCCATCACATGGACAACCCTTGAAGGATCTCTCCATCATCGCTGGGAGAGGCATGTAGTGCAGCAAAATAAGCATGGACTTCAGAGTCAGACAAGTTATATCAACTCTCTGAGCTTTGGTCTCTTCATCTGCCATCATCTGGACAATATGGCATCCTCATAAGACTACAGAGATTAAATGAACAGGATTTTATGTGTAATGTAGGTGGTTCAGTGGTTGGCACATAGTAGGCACTTAACAAGTGTTATTCCTATTCTTTCTCCCCATCTGTCCCAGGTGAATTTATGTGGCTTAACCTGCTTCCATCTGGAGCCTTAACTACCCATGCTCTGGGACTGGCAGAAAGCCAGAGAAGCTTATTGGGAGGCATGCGTTAGCTGTCCAAAGTTCACAGAACTCCTACCATTCCCGATGCCTCTTGTCCTCTACCTAGTTTCTGACCAAGCGGGCTTCCCTTAAACATGGGCTTGGGCATATTTTTGGAGCCCCTTCTCTGCCCTGGCTTCCTGCACAGCAGCTACATGCTTCTTCTCTGTCCCAGGTTCCAGAATGACCCTCTTATCTTTCCCACACGCCCGACACATTTATGGAATGGAAACGGGGTTGACAGCTTCAGATGTGGCCAGTCTTTGGCCAATCCCCAGGTCCTGCCCCCTGCCAGGGCCTCTGTCCTGAGCACCCTGGTGGATTCAGGAGGGCAGAGGGACATGGTGCTTGGTTCTGGGAGAGTTTCCAAAGTAACAGGGGAGGCGAGCAGATGAAATTGAAAATCCAAGCACAAGCATAGATGGAAGCAGATAAGTGCTCCAGAGAAACAAGCAGGCGTATGCACAGAAAGGCATCTGTGACTTCTGTTGTCCCTGTCCGAAGAGGTGTCGTTAAGGTCAGGAGCTGTAGCTTATCCATCAGTCTGGGGCTCCTCAGGCAGAGGGTTAAGTCTTCTCCATCACACTGGGGATCCCAAGGACAGGGCCATGTCCCTTGCTGCAGACTGGGGTCCTCTGGGGTCAGGGGCTGTCTCTTCCACATCAAACTCAGGGGCCGCTGAAGTCAGGGGCTATGTCACCCCCATCACACCATGAATTAGAGCCCAGGGCTGTTCATCTCCATCTCCGCTGGGAATTCTCCTGGTAACACTGTATGGGCTAGCTAATTCATCCAATTTACACCTACAGTACATACGGCAACTGGGAGCCTTCCCCGGGTGGGCATTCCAATGGTACCTCCAGCCTGAGCCTCTGCGGCAGAGCTGGTGGTAATTAGAGGTGATTGTAATTCCCAGGTGACATTAATAACATGTGAGACAGAATACAAATGTAATAATGAAGATATCGTGAGGTGTCATGAATAAACAGTAATTGGAATAATAAGTTAAAGAATGAGTTTATGTAACAAAATCAATGAGATGAGAGCCTAAAGACTGTGTGCATCCGTGGTCCTGGATAATCCCATTCACAAAAAATTTCCCCAGAACTGCTTATCTGAGGACATTTTCCAGAGAGGAAAAGAGCTGCTAGTAGCTGGTATCTTAAGAAAGCCAGGACAACTCCTTAACCTTGAATCGAAAGGACCTTCCATGCAGCTGGACTGGTAAAAAAGCAATAACATAGAAATGGAAAAGAATTGGGGGAAAAACGTTCTCTACGAAAACCACAAAAATAATCTAAAAACCACATTGAGGGATGGCCCTTCAAAATGGTCAATCCAAAAAAAGAACTGATAGGATGTTTGGTTTGTGTAAGACCCTATGGAGCATGTCTAAAAGACTCACAAATACAAAAGTTCTCTGAGAAAAGGGGTGCAGCCTTCAAAATGCCAACCTAAGTTGGCTCTTTCTTCATTTGCTGTTCGAGCAGTTCATTTTTGGCTCCAACCTATGAAGAATAGGAATTGAGCCTACGAGGGGGAGCTGTGCGTGTGTGTGTGTGAGTGTGTGTGAGTATATGAGCGAGCGTGAGTGTGAGTATGTGAGTGTGTACAAATGTAAGTATAGGAGTCAGTGTGTGTGAGTGTGTATGTGAGTGTGTGTGTGTGTGTGTGTGTGCACATGCACCCAGGTCAGGATGGGTGGATGCTTTGGGGAATGGTGTACAGGAGAATGGATAAACCTTGGTATGATTTAATTGGTCGAAAGTGGAATTCCACATCTATTTGTCTTAATTTTTCCTCACTGAGATTGTAAACTGTTCTTGGCAAAATCAAGAAAATGACATGGCACCTTGTGGTTTATGTAAATTACATCATCTAACCTTGGCATGAAGCCTCTCTCTGTAAAGGACGGAGCTGAGGCTAAAGGGGGTTTGGTGGCTTGGTGAAGATCCAAGAGCTGGTCGATGGCAGAGCAGGCACTCAGCCTTGGGCTGTGTGACCGCACAGCCGGCCCGTCTCATCACACCAGCTGTTTAAACTGCCCCCCGCCCCCACCACCCTCAACCCCTGCAGAGTCCCAGGGCTCCATGGAGTTGTCTCAGGCCAGGCTGACCACCTGGGCCTCTGAGACACCGGCCCCCGTTTGAGTCAGTGCAATGTGCTCCTGTTTTGTATACAGTATTAGGTTTTTGTGCAGAACTTCACTCTAAGCATGAGTTCCACGGCTAACAGTACGCCTGGTAATCACCCCATTAATCCACTCATGTTAGACTGAGCTCTGCATTGGGAGTATTGAGAAAGCAGAGGCTTCAACCCTACAAATTAGGGACAGCAATTGCTCCAGCTCCCTGGGATATCACCCTACTCTGGCCACCATATAGGTCCAGAGCTCTGAATGGCCTTCCTTAGGGCTCTGGCAAAGAGGCAGGAGGATCATGGGTCAGAGCTACCCTCCAACCAGCCCCTCCCTAACCAGGTCATCTAACCTTGTCCCCGTGACCTCTGGGCTGTTCCTCCAACACGCTGAGCACCTCCAGGCTCAGGGCCTTTGCGCTCTGTTACCTCTCCTCCCAGATATCCCAGTGATGGGCTTCTCAGACTCCATCAGATCTCTGCTAAAATGTCCCTCATCAGAGAGGCCTTTCCTGACCACTCTTCACAGATGAGCAACCCCATCCCAGTACTCTCTAAGCTAGCTTAATTTTTCTCTGTAACGCTCAACTCTACCTGGTACATTACATACCTATGTGTTCACGGCCTGTCTTCCCCCACCAGAAAGTCAGACCGTGAATGGAAGACTTGGCCTGTTTTGTTCACTTTTGTATCCACAACACCCAGAGCAGTGTCTGATATGTAATAAAATCCATCGCCATCGAGTCAATTCCAACTCATAGCAAACTCACAGTGACCCTACAGGACAGAGTAAAATTGCCCCACAGGGTTTCCAAGGAGTGGCTGGTGGATTTGAACTGCTGCCCTTTTTGTTAGCAGCCGAGCTCTTAACCACTGCACCACCAGGGCTCTGATATGTAATAGGTGCTCTAGAAATGAACCCAACTATGCTCCCCTCTTTTTCCCAGCTGAGTGGGAGAAGTCTTCCTAGGTTTTCTCCAAGGGCTAGCACTCATCTGCTCCACCACACTGGGACTCCCCCTGGGCAAAGGTCATACCTCCTACTTATAGGTCCACCCAGTACTCATCTAGACTTCTCTGCAAGAGGCATCTTTAAGTCATGAGTCTATGTATTAAGGGTGGGGATATGAGAGTACTGAAGTCAATGTCATTTGAATGCCTACTTTGCAAAGGCCCACTCTGCAAACGTATGTTCAGTCTATGGAAAAGCCCCACAAAGCATGCTATCGCCATCCCTGTTTTACAGATAAGGAGGCTGGAGCAAAAGGAGGTTAAGTGACCTGCTCAAGGCCCCACTACAGGTAAGCGTGTGGTCAGTCAGTCCTCAAACCCAGGCCTGTCGGACTCTCAGCCTGTGTGCTCTCCTCTACGCCATAGCAATTGACTAAAGCTTTGCCCACCCCATTAGTGAAGCAAAATGAAAGCACGTGACCACCTACCAACACACCTTGGCAGAGGCGAGCTCCACAGGCGCCGTCTGCCCCCCAGGCACATGATGCGGGCGGTGCCCTCCAGGCGGTACCCGGGGAAGCAGGAGAAGGTCAAGGTGTCACCCACGCCAAACTGCAAGCCCTTCCGGATGCTGTAGGCTGGGACCTCGGGCTCCTCACAGGGCTCCAAGTCATACTCTGGAAAGGCAGCCGAAGAGTCAGAGTCAGAGACATGAGTGGGAAGACCCAGAGAGAGAAGATGGGGACATACAGACCAAAGTGCCAGGGAGAAACGAGCCAGACATACAGAAAGACAGAGGGAGTACGCACACACTGATCCACAAAAGGTAAAGAGAAAAGGAGAGAGAGCCCAAGAGGAATAGGCGCAGAGAGTAAGTTGGAGGAAGAGGCCACATCATCTTTGTGTGGTCAGGATCCTTCACTACTGTGAGCAGTGGGTTAGGGGCATTGCATTTCTGGATGCATGCTTCCCGAGGGTATTGATGAAGCTCCTCATGATATGACCCTTCCCTCCTCTGTCCCTTCATCTCCATTTTTACCCCAAGCGTCAGGGCTCTCAGACTCTCCTGACTCTTTCTCGGCACTGAACCAGACAAATCCAATCATCCCTGTACAAGAGGGTCGGGATATATGACCCCGTCTAGGGCAACTTACACTGAGAAAGAAAATTCAAGCGTGTCACTCAAAGCTATGTCTCCATAATGCTGGCACTTGGGTCAGATGACGAGCCCAATGAGGTGGTGTTTATGGGCAAGGTACGAACGTGGTACCTCTAGTGAGCCTAGAAGTGACTATCCCCTTCACCCCCAAGGGCATCTTTCTCATTCGGGGACAGTGCCCCAGGGGCTCTGTGGTGAGGAGAAGGAGGGTCTCTCTCAGATGGGATGTGATATACTGGCTGCATATGTCCCATTGGCCAGGCCAGCCCTGGCAGCCATGCCAGGCACACGGCAGGTGGCTTCTGCTGCTGAAAGGCCAGTGTGGGCCCGGTTCCTAAAGGCTAGGTACCTCTTGCCCATCCCAGGAGGAATCCATCTGATATCTGTGTTCCTGGCTGAGAAGGCGGGACCCTGGGGCACAATGGGACAAGAGCGGCCAGGAAACTTGGTACTAGTTCTCTTTTCTCCCTGAATGCCACGTAAAAGGACTTACTTTTCAGGATTCCTAAACACAGAGATAAATATCTATTAACATTAAATTACCACTGATGAATTGACAAAGGCACCAAAAGCTTAGAGGGCAGTGAGTTTAAGACAATGATGGTAGAATAATTTGGAAAAGGATAGTAAGAATGGTAGCAAAATTTGAGAAATGTAATCAACATCACTGAATTATACATGTAGAAATTGTTAAAATGGTGTATCTTTGGCTGTGTATACTTTCATCAAAATAAAAAAAATTACTATGCTTAAAAAGACTCCAAATGAGACTAAAATATCCCAAATATATTAATTTCAAACTTCTTTCTTCTTGTTTTTTAAATTGCAGGCTGTGAAATGGTAGAAGTAGAAGCAAAAGAAGAATCTGGAACTGCTAAGGCAGGGAGTAGAAACCCTGGTGGCATAGTGGTTAAGTGCTACAGCTGCTAACCAAAAGGTCAGCAGTTCAAACCCACCAGGCGCTCCTTAGAAACTATGGGGCAGTTTTACTCTGTCCTATAGGGTTGCTATGAGTTGGAATTGACTTGATGGCAATTTTGTTTTTTTAAGGCAGGGAGTGACTTTTGTGAGGTTCTCAAGTTCAACCAGCTAGGCAGGTCATTCAGAGAAAATCCCAAATACCTTCAGATTCCTCAACAAACCTGCTAACTCCTTCTATACCCATTGTAGGGGAGTTCTTCCTTGTGTCTAACCCAAATATCCTTTGCTGCAGCACTGAGGTCATTGCCCCAGAGACTGCAGAGTAGATCAATAACTATCTACTAAGAAGACCAACGGCTGGCAGCAGAGGTAAAGACCGAGGCCTCTGAGATGTCTTCCCCCCAGGGACTCTCCCACTCTTACCTGAGAAGGTGATGTTGAAGCCTTCATATGACATGGAGAAATCAGAAATGAAGCGGACCTGGGCGGTGAAGTTGCCATAGAGCCCAGCGCTGATGGGAGCTGGCAGCCGTGAGCCAGTCAGCTGCTTCAGGGGCTGGGTGAAGCTGCCGTTCTCAGTGATGAGGAGGTAGTCATGGCCACTCTCCAGGTGGAAGGTGTGGAAAGTAAAGAACACCCCTGTCAAGAGACCAGAAAGGTCAGGTCTGCAATGGTGACAAGGCTGAAGCTGCACAGATGCAAGGCGGGATCTGCACGAACACTTCCAATAAATTTACAAATAACTACCATCATGCATTGATAAATACCAACAGGCAAACCTGAACGAATGAACTTGAATACACCATTGCCCATAGATTCAGCTGGGGGAAAAGGACACTCGTTTATGGTTGTCAACATCTGAAAGGGAGATTTATGGCTATGTCTGTGAGAATGTGTCATAGGTATTCATTAGCTCATTCGACAAGCATTTGCAGATTTGTTGAGTTCTTGATATGTACCAAACCCTGGGCTAGGAGCAAGGGGATAGACAAGACATTAAACAAATAGCTACAACACAGAGTGATAAATGCTATAAGGAGCATAAATCAGAATGCCAGGGAGGGCAGAAGAGAAAGCAATTTACTGCAGAAAGCAGGAACTGTAGGGTGGTGTGATGGTTAATTTTATATGTCAACTTGGTTAGGCTATGGTGTCCAGTGGTCTGGTCAAACACTAGTTTGGATGTTGCTATGAAAGTATTCTGTTCATGTGTTACAATTAGTTGACTCTAAGTTCAGAAGAGTACCCTTGATAATGTGGGTGGGCCTCATCTACTAGTTGAAGGCCTTAAGAGCAAAAACTGAGGTTTCCCGGGATAAGGAATCTTCCTTCAAGACTGTAACATAGGTATCCGGCTGGAGTTTCCAGCCCACCTCTTGGCCTATGGATTTTGGACTCAAGACTGCTGGAGTTTCCAGTCTTCTGACTGATCTATGGATTTTGGACTTGACAGCCCCCACAATAGAATGAATCAATTTCTTAAAATCTCTCTTTCTCTATGTATATATATAAACCTGTAGCTCATGGCGGCCCTATAGGATAGAGGAGAACTGCCCTGTAGGGATTCCAAGGAGTGGCTGGTGGATTCAAACTGCCGACCTTTTGGTTAACAGTCAAGATCTTAACCACTGCGTCACCAGGACTCTCTATGTATACGTATGTACATACATACATACATATATATGTATATTACTGTAGAGGCTTGTGTGTTGCTATGATGCTGGAAGCTATGCCAACAGTATTTCAAATACCAGCAAGGTCATCCATGATGGATAGGTTTCAGTGGAGCTCTTAGACTAAGACAGACTAGGAAGAAAGGTCTGGCAATCTACTTCTGAAAATTAGCCAATGAAAACGTATGGATCCCAACAGAACTTGCTTGATTTGGACACATCATAAGGAGGGAACAATCACTGGAGGAGGTATCACGTTTGATGAAGGAGAGGGTCCATCAGTGAAAGGGAGACCCTCAGTGAGGTGGATTGGCACAGCAGCTACAAAGACGGACTTGAACATGCCAGTGATTGTGAGGATGGCACAGGACTGGGGAATGTTTCGTTCTGTTGTACGTAAGTTTGCCAGACTCGACAGCAGCTCTCTCTCTCTCTCCTATCTGGAGAACCCTGACTAATACAGATGGCTTCATTAAGGAGTGAACATTTAATGGGTCTTAAAAGGATGTGCAGAAATTAACCAGGGAAAAGAGGAAAGGGCATCCCAGGCAAGGGCCTGGCATGTGTAAAGGAACAGAGATGTGGTCGATTTTAGGGCTCAGGGCTGAGACATACATGGCAGGAAATACCTGGAACTGAGGCTGGAAAGGTAACCTGGGCTAGACTGGATATTTTTCTGGAGACAAGGACAAGCCATCCCATCAAGAATGGATCAGACTTCTTCTTTTATAAAGATTTTGCTGACTGTGAGAAGGACTAGGTGGCGGGAGAGGAGGCAAAGAGATCAGTTAGAAAGACGGCCACCGTGTGCTGGCCGAGAGGATGCAACTTGGGAGAGGGAAAGGAAAGCAGGAAACAGATATGAGACGTTCGAGAGGTACCGTGGGTGGGAGCCAGCAGGCTACGAAGCAAAAGAGCAAGGAAAAGATGAGTGAGAGGGTGTTGACCTGAAGGATGGTGATGTCTTTCACTTCCTGGGGTGAGATGCACAGGAGAAAGAGGAGCAGGGTATAGAGGAGTAACGGGTTTAGCTTTGAACACCCAGCAGTTTGTGACTTACCAGCATCCATGCAGTGATATCTATGGGGCAACTGGAAGTAGAGATTTGGAGTCCAGGACTGAAGTAGAGTTTTAGAGGTAGAGAGAGCAATGATGGTTCAGTAGTAAAATTCTAGCCTTCCAGGTGGGAGACCTGACTTCGATTCCCAGCCAACACACCTCATGGGCAGCCACCACTCATCTGTCAGTGGATGCTGAATACATTTCAGTGGCACTTCCAGACTAAGACAGACTAGGAAGAAAGGCCTGGTGATCTACTTCCAAACATCAGCCAATGAAAACCCTATAAATCACAAAGGTCTAATCCACAACTGATCATGGGGATGGTGCAGGATTGGGCAGCATTTCATTCCATTGCTGGGTATGGCCTGCCTTCAGTATTATAAATGGATATTCCAGCAAGGCTCTAGCTCTGGATTCTGCATCTGGCTCACATTACCTGACTTTCGGTTCTTAGGACTTGAGCTAGCAGTTTACCTGCCCATCTTGAGTTCGTCTGCCCCTGCAGCTACACGAGTCAGGAGAAGTCTCCATCCTGACGCCTGACCCACAGACTTGGGACTTGCTAGCCTCTACAACCATGTGAGCCATTTCCATGAGAAAAATTTCTCTCTCTCTCTTTATACATATATATATATATATATCTACACACATACCTCAGTGGTTTTGCTTCTCTAGAGAATCCAGCCTAACACAGTCACCCAGGTAGTTAGTAGGCAGTAAATCAAGGATCTAAATTGAGGTGAACTGACTGCTGTGTTCCTAACTGCTGCACAACACTGTCTCTCAACTTACAGGAATAAAGCAAGTAGCAAGAGCAGCCAGGTGGCGAGGTGGACCAGGCGGTGAGAAGGCAAGACCTTAACACCCAAAGCAACTCTCGAACTAGCCCAGATTGCAGTTGTGTCTGGGTGGGCATGTGTGCAAACGCATGCCCATCCACAGGTGAGTGTGCTTATGGGATTATGTGCTGTGGACGGTGGAGGAAGCAGGAGTGCTGCACACACCTGCTACTCAAAGTGTCTCCATGGACCAGCAGCAAGGGCATTACCTGGGAGCTGGTTAGAAATGCAGACTCTCAACCTCCACTGCAGACCTACCAAATCAGAATCTGCAGGTCAACAAGATCCCCAAGTGATTTGTAGGCACATGAAAGTTTGCAAAATATTTTTCTAGATAATTATTGATATGATTTAAATGAATGATGATTGGACCCACGCCCTTAACACTAAAGCAACTGAAGGTTGGATCCAAGCCCTTCATGTTAAAGCATTTTAGACGTTTTCATATTCTCACCTCCCTGTTGATAGGAGTTGGTGCTCCTGGAGCATTTGGGGTTCTATTGGGGGCAAGGGGTGGGGCAGGAGACAGAATCCAGCAGAGACCATGAGACCAGGGATGCAGCTTGTAAGTGCTCTGTGCCCAGGCAACTATGAAGCATCCACTTATTTATTTGTTTAAAAAAAAAAAATCAGGCCCTAAGAACCTACCAAATGCCAGGCCTTCTGCTAAGCACTGAGATCTCCCAGTTTAGGGCAGGAGACACCTTAGTAGTGAGACTCTGGAGTGGGAGCACAAAGAAGGGGTGGGTAACTTCACTGGGAGGGTTGGGAAGGCTTCACAGGGGTCGGAATCTGAGAAATGAGGGGTGTGAGCATGTTTGGAGGAGATATGGGGGATGTGTGCCTATCACTCAGTCTATAGACGGGAGTTGTGGAAACACTTGGTGGAATATGTCCTTTCTCTCCTAGCTAGAACAGCAGTTGGGTGGAGATCAAGCCGGTCAGGCCACAGTAACAGCCGGAAACAAAGCTGATTAATCATTGTACTTTACACTCTATTCTTCTAGCATGCAAATGCAGCCCCTACAAAGGAGTAAACATTTGTCTGGGAGTCTAAGGATGAGTAAACAATTGAGATGAAACCCCTGGGTTTTCCCAGCAGTGCCGGTTGCTCGGGGCTCTTTTGGCCAATGTGAGAAAATGAAGACATTGTCACAGAACTAGAGACGCCACACTTCCAGATTGGAATTCAGACTTGGTGTGACTGATGAACACACACACTAATTCTTCTCTGGAATGGACCATGCAGGATCCTATAAATGGAATCAACACCGTACCAGGGCAGAAAGAGCAGGATAGTGGGCAAAGCATGGGCTCTGGAGTAAGACAGATCTGGACCAAAAGCCCACCCATCAGCTGAAGGGTCTTGGCCAAAGCTGCTTTCTTTCTCTTCCCTCCCCCATCCCAGTTCGACTTTCTGTGGACAATAACATGACATTGGGCAAATCTGCTGCAAAAGACCTTTTTAAAGTTTAAAAAAGCAAAGATGTCACTTCGATGACTAAGGTGTGTCTCATAGGCATGTGAAAGCTGGACAATGAAACGGGAAGACAGAAGAAGAACTGATGCATTCGAATTATGGTGCTGGTGAAGAATATTGAGTCATGGACTGCCAAAAGAACGAACAAATCTGTCTTGGAAGACATACAACCAGAATGCTCCTTAGAAGCAAGGATGGCGACTTTGTATTGCTTACTTTGGACACATCATCAGGAAAGATCAAATGCTAGAAAAGGACATCATGGTTGGTAAAGTCGAGGGTCAGTGAAAAAGACAGGAACCCTCAATGAGATGGAGTGACACAATAACCACAACAATGGCCTCATACTAATGATCATGCAGATGGCACAGGACCGGGCAATGTTTCTTTCTGTTCTATCTAAGGTCATCATGAGCTGCAGCTGACTTGATGGCAACCAACAATAACTGCAACAACAAATACCTCCCAAGTGAATTTTATTCCTTGAAGTGATGAATAAACGAGATAGTGTATGCAAAGCTCACGGCACAGTGCCTAGCACCGAGTTGGTGTATAATGGTGGGTGTTCTCTTTGCTCAGCTCATCTAATTTACAGTCTTGTGGGTTAAAAGGTGCCAGTCCCGGGGTCTCAGCAGGGGCACAGTCTCTGGACTCCTAAATCAGCTGTTCCTTTGGGCTGAGGGTGTGGCAAGTTGAAAAATTCTGAATTGTTCAACAATTCTGAATTTCACAAAGTTCTGAGTATCCTCAGTTGTGCTTCTGCCTGTTACGAGGCAGTCCAAGTCATCACCCTAGCAGCTATGCTATCCCAAGATACCCGTATAAGCAAAATTGAGGAATGCCTTCTGAAAAAGGGTCTGGATTCCGTTTAATTCAATTCATATCACTGAATATTTCTTGAGCTCCGTATATGCCAGGCATAGTGCTAGAAGCTGGGGAAACCGTAGGACACCAGACGGACATGTCTCTCAAAAAGCTTATAGTTCGTCAGGGAGACAGAAAGTGAAAATGCAATTTCAGTGCGATGGGTACAGCTTGGAGCTGGGAAGTTGCAGGAGGCTGAAGGAGCACGTGGGAGGTGAGCCAACCTTGACCCAGGGTAGGGAAGTGGGTCAGGGAAGGCTTATCTGAGGAAGTGAGTTCAGAAGGACGAGGAGCTGGCTAATGAGGAAAGGTGGAGGTGCTGTGGAGAGAGGGCGTATTTCAGGGAAAAGAAAACGGTATAATCAGCAAAGCTCTGGGAGAAAGAAAGCCTGTGTAGTTCTGGAAAAATCAAAGCTCAGTGAGCTGGAACTTCTTAGTGTTTACAGGGCTCAGAATGAGGCTGAGAAAGGGAAGCAAAGGCTACAGGGTGGGGCTCTGTGCTAAGGGTTACTGAAGTCTTTAAATGGTTCTAAGGAAGGCTGGCCATACATCCATGCCTTTTCTTGTCTTGTGTCCTCTGCCTGGAATGCCCTTCAGCCTGGCTAATTCCTGTTCATCATTGAAGTCTTAGCTCAAACCTCAACTCCAGGACACCTCTATTCCTTCTATCACAACACTGGCCATGTTAGATGGACAGATCTGTTTAGGTTGTCTATCTCCATCACTGGGTGGCACAAACGGTTAAGCACTCGGCTACTAACTGAAAGGCTGGCAGTTCGAATCTACCCAGAGGTGCCTCAAAGAAAGGCAATCAAAAGATCCCAGCCACTGAAAACCCTATGGAGCCCAGTCTGCTCTGAAACACATGGAGTTGCCAAGAATCAGAATCATTCATTTTTTTTACATTTCCATCACTAGATTATAAACTTCCTGAGGGCAGGTAACAGCAGAGTGGCTTGTTCAGCTGTGTTTTCCTAACACCCAGAGCAGTGCAAATATAAGATAAACATTTGTTAAATATTTGTTGAAGTGTATTGACTTATATATTGACTTGACATGTATGCATATATGATTTGCCGTCGAGTTGATTCTGACTTATGGTGCCTCCATGTATGCAGAGTAGAACTGGGCTCTCTATAGGATTTTCAATGGCTGTTTTTTTCAGAAGTAGATAGCCAGGCCTTTCTTCTGATGCACTTCTGGGTGGACTCAAACCTCCAACCTTTCAGTCAGTAGTTGAGTGCTTAACTGATTGCGCCACCCAGAGAGAAACACACACCGCTATAATCACAGATGCCCAGACAGAGAAAATCACAACTAGAGGGGGTTGTCCCTCTAGAGATCACAAGGGCTGCCTCTTTCCCTCTTGATGCCACAGAGTAGCTCTGCAGGATGAGCAAGGGAGCTGCCCCCATCCCTTCCCTCCTCTGGAACAATGTTGTGGGGAGAAGGGGACAACGCCAGGCCTCTCTCTGACTGCCTGGAGTGTCCTTCCTTGCCCCAAGAAGCTCCAGGCCACCCTCGTCCCAGCTAGGTCAGGCCTATTAAAGGCAAAATGAACACACTTGAGTACATGTGGTAAAAATATAAGTGACTTCTTTTCAAATTTTTGTTTTCATACAAATACTGTTTATCTTATTTCACATATAATATATGTTAATTGCCCCAAATTAGAAAAAAGCCAAAAGATGAAAATAAGGTGGCGCAGTGGTTAAGTATTTGGCTGCTAACCAAAAGGTCAGTGATTCGAACCCACCAGCTGCTCCATGGGAGAAAGAGGTAGCAGTCTGCTTTCTGTAAAGATTATGGCCTTGGTAATCCTATGGGGCATTTCGACTCTGTCCTATAGGGTTGCTATAAGTCGGAATCAACTCAACAGCAATGGATTTGGTTTTTCTGGTTTTAGTATTCACATCTTGGGCTATATCCTTTCAGACTGCTTTCTACGCCTGTATCCTTGTTTTTTATTTTTTTTTTCCAAATAAACTAAACATATTCTTTTATAAATTTCTTTTTTCACTTAACAATGTATTGCAACCACCTCTGCAGGTCTTTAAATATTCCTTCACATCGTATTAGTCTTTGCATAGTATTTCATTATATGGCTATACCAATATTTCCTTATTGATGGACATTTGAATAGTTCCTAATTTTTTTCAATATAATAAACAATGTTTTAGGGGCATCCTTGTAGCTGAATCTTGATGTACAGTCTTATTTATTTTCTTCAAATAAATTCTAAGAGGTGGAACTACTGAGTCCAAAGACACATATATTTTTAAGACTCTTGATTCATGTCACCAAATCACCCTCCAGAAAGTTTACATAAAGTCAGCAGTAAACAAGAGTACTCCTGTCTCCATACTCTCACCCATACTCCTATGATTATCTTTGCTGACTCGAGAAATGACGTTTTATTATTGGTTGAACTTGCATTTCTTTAGTTATTTGTAGGGTTGATATTTACATTTGTATTTCTCTATTGTGACATGTTAGCGTATAGCTTTGCTCATTTTACAGTCTGTTGGGCGAGGCTTATTTTTCTTATAGATTTTTAAGAGCTCTGCATGCATCAGGATGGTAAACTTTAGTCGGTTATATATGCTGCAAATCTTTTGTCCATTCACTATCTGACTTTGCATTTTTATAGTATTTTCTAGACATAAATCCAATCAAATTTTTAATAAATCAAATCTAACAGAGTTTGCCTTTTGGATTCTGCTTTTGGTGTTACTCTTTAAAATACTTTCCCCTCTCCCTGAGGTTTGATGGTCATGTTCTTCTAGTACTGGAATTTATGCGATTAAATGTATGAGGTACATACACTTTCCCTTTTTTTTCCAATTGGTTAAGCCCACCATTTTAACACCATTTATTAAAGATTCCATCCTCTCATCAATGGATCAGAAATGACACTTTAATCATATACTAAATCATTTAGCCACACTCTCTCTCTCTCTCTCACACACACACACACACACATACACGTGCATGCACCCACACATACCACACACAGAGGAATTTATTTTTGGATCTTTAATCTCCACTGATTTGTATGTTCACTCCTACTCATATCACATTGTTAAAATTATTTTAGCCCACAACATTTTCATATCAGGAAGGTTACTCTTCCTTTTAAATTTTTTTCTTGGTTCTTCCACATGTTAATTCTAAATCAGAGGTTCTTAATTAAGAGCGTGCATCAGAATTACTGGGGATGTGTTCTAAAAGCACAGATGCCTGGTCTCCACCTCAAATGTAGAAAATAGAAACCTCTAGGGTAGGGTCTAAGCATTAGTGTATTTGCTGAAGTGCAGAGGGATTAAGAACCAGGACTCCAGATGAACTTTGGAATAAGCTTCTGTGGGTAGAGAGCATATCTGCCTGGTTATTTATTCATACACAGCTTCAGTGCCCACCAGATAGGTGCCATTCAACAAATATCTGTTGAATGAAAGAGTATATTAGTGTTTATTTATAATCAGAACCCTAACTTTGAACTTGGACTCCCAAAGACCATTTATCTTTGGGTAGCAGAGACAATAGTTCAGCCTGGTGAGGAATATGAAAACGTGTCATCTAAGGAACAGTTGAATCATGACAGAATTGGACTGTTATGCTCAATATCTGAAGGGTGGATGTGAAGAAGAGGTAGCAGATTCACCCTACAGTCCTCCAGGGCATAGTACAAGAAATAAAGTTTCAGGGACACTTCATAGACTATCAGAGAGGTCAGATCTATCAAAAAATGATAGTTAGGTGCCCAGATGTTGACTGGCAGGGTTGGTGACATCCCCATCACTGGGGGTGTTTAGATAGAGGGTATGTTACCATCTTGTAGGGAGTAATTTAGAGGAGATCCCTGCACTGAGTGGGATTTTTGAGCTAGTAACCTCCAAAATCTCTTCCAGCATGGAGATTACAGACTCTCAAAGTTATTAATTAATGAATTTTGTGATTCAAAGAAATGGGAAGGTTCTGGGAGTTTTTTTGCTGGTGAGAAGAATTCAGATTGAACCCTACTGTATAGGTAGATCCCCACTGAGTTTGCTTTGACCAGAGGAATTTGGGGCCCCGACCCTGTCATACTCCCAAACCTGCTACGGGCTCCAACACTCACCCTTGCCATGTGACGTTTCAATAACCCAGGTGCAGTTCAAGTTGTTGGGGTAGAAGTCAGGGAACCCGGGTGATAAGATGGTCCCACTGGAGCCTTGAATGAAACCACCACAGAGAGCTACGGAAGAAGGGAAGAGAGCAGTTGAAGAATGCTCAGGGCTGCTCCCCTAACAATCCTCCTGGGATCCCTTCCCCCATCTCCTCCCAAACCTCCAACCCTCACAGATGTGGAAAATGAGGTTCAGTTCCCCTTCCAGCTCCTGGCTTTTCATGGTAGGAAAGGAATCTGCCTCTTCTTCGGCGCCCCCTGCTGGCCTCCCTCACCTTCACAGCTGGGCAGGGCCCGGCTCCACTGGAAGTTGGGCTCACACTCCAGGGGCTCCCCGTCACTTAACGTGTAGCCCGAGTCGCAGCTGAAGGTCACCAGAGCACCGACGTAGAAGTCATTCCCATGACGCTGCCCATTGACGGGGATCCCTGGATCCAGACAGTGGTCTGACTGTAGTGTGATAGCTGGAAAAGAGAGCTCACTGTCACCAGAAACGGGGACCCTGGCTGACTCACGAAGGCGAGGGAGGTGAGCGCCCCCTGGTTTAACGAAAGGTTACAGTTGCCGATGATTACCCACTCATCAAATGTGTTGTCAATTTTAGCGGAGAGGGTATTTAAAGACCTGTCAGAGAGAACCAGTTAGCTTGATGGTTCATTTGTCTGTTCATTTATTCATTCATTAAACCAAACAGCTTAGGCAGTATGCTAGAACTTAGGGATACAAATGTGTAAGAAAATGGCCCTATTCTCATGGCATTCTCAACCACAACTTTCTATTTTGGTCTGCAAAGAATTAAAGTGACGTCCATCCCTTTAAGTCCAGGCACCAAGGATGAATGCAGAAGGTACTAAGAGAGCGCAAGAACGAGTGTGGAGATGCCATCTCATTCCAACTTCATGGTCGGCCAAATGCTCTCTCCCCAGAGTGCCCAGCACGGTGGCACACAATCATCTGCACACAGAAGAGTCTGTGCGGTGGGCAAGAGAGGGCCCAGCATGTAGGCCACGAGGTGGCATTGTTTCTCAAAGGTTAAGAATGACTGTGAAGCTCCCACAGAACTCTGGGGGATTCTAGGGTGAGGGAGCACCCTCTGGGTGCACGCCCTAACAGAGAACACTACGGGGATGGCTGGGGACCTACCGGGGGAGCAAACTCTGGGGAACCCTGTCACCTGCCTCCCGGTGCCCTCTGAGACTCACTCTCATAGCGGAGCTGGAAGCCAATGTCCGAGTGACTCTTGTCTGTGGAGAAGAGGAGGTAGAGGTAGTTGCTGGTGCTGATGAGGAACTGAGGGACCTGGGTCCCATGGTAAACCCCAATTAGGGGCGCTGAGTAGGTCCGTCCATCTCGCACTTCCAGGGTGTCATAGTTGACCTCGGTTTTAAATCTGCCAAAACACGGAAGTGAAGACTTCTTGAGACACTCAGTGCTGATTACTTTGCAAATGACAAAAGGCCTCGCTTAACCCAGGGCTTCAAAAGAACAACTCGATTTTGGTGGGCTGGGATATTTTTATATAACTGGCACACATTTACCAGCAAGGAGGAAGGGCCTTCTCTAACGTATTTAAGCCCTCCCTAAGCCCCTCCTCCTCTCTATGACCTGGACCACTGCCCATCTTAAGACTTAGAGGCACAAGGACTACTAGCCTCATGGGGGTCAGAATGTTCTAGGCCAAGGGTCAGCAAGCTACACTCCAGGGTCAAGTACGGTCTGTAGCCTGGTTTTTTTTTTTTTGGTACGGCCTGTGAGCTAAGAATGATTTTTACATTTTTCAGGTTTTTTTTTTTTAAAAAGAAAGGAACGAAGAATTTGCAACAGAGATCCTAAAGTTGCTAACAAAACCTAAATCATTTACTTTCTGGCCCTTTGCAGAAAAAAATTACCAGCTGTTACTGTAGGCCATGAATGCTTTGTCCAGAAGCAGTTTGTGTTCGTATTTTGGCATCTACTCTTCCCACCAAATGGGCATAATCACGGTGGGAGCTAGAAGTGGGGCATCTGAGAAGGATTTGGGCCAGAGGCCAGGGAGGCTGCCTTCCCATATTAAACATTTCATAGTTATGCTCCTTAGATGGCAATGCCATGTTTCCAACATCTGAAAGCATCTATCTGCTCACTTTACCTCCTCCTTGGCTCTGACATACCAAATGATGCTCAGCCTTCTTCTCTCTCCTCCAGTCATGGGTCCCTAGACAAACCCCACAACCAAGATGGAACCAAACCCACTGGCAAAGCCAGTGAGATTTGTCCCTACCCAGGGCAGTCTGCTCTAGTGTTGTCTGATCTTGTTGACATTTCAGTGTCTGTTCTGGCCCACCACCCGCTCTGGATTCCCTCCCAGGCCACTCCTCAGAAATCACCTCCCTGCCCCCCAAGGTCATGGTTACAAGCACCTGTTGAAGGTGATTTTGATGGGGTAGCCTGGCTGGGCTTCAATCACCCAGGCACAGCTCAAGGCATCCTTGTAGAAGCCAGGCCAGCCTGGAGAGAGGATGGTGCCACTGGGAGAAGTCAGATGACCACCGCAGGGAGCTGCAGGGACAGGAGGAGAGAAGCAGATTTATTGGGGGGACAAATAAATGAACACACACACAAAAAGCCTCTCTATAAAATGTGCCAGTCAACAGGCATTGTTTTTGTTTTTATGGAGAATTACATAAACTATAAAGTGTGAGTTTTGTCTATTGGGGCCTTTTTGGGTATCTTCAGTTACATCGTTTGGTGGCTTATTAAAGGCCAGAGAGGAGTAATGAAAAGAACGTCCTCTGCCCTTTTAGAAGGGCTGAGGTACAGCTCATATTTGGGTCATGCTGGTTTTTCTCTGTTCCTCACTCTATTGTCAGGCTTATAGCAGAGGCATAAAACCCAGCTCATCTCATCACATGCAGGTACCTGGGACTCTAGCCACTGCAGAGTGGTCTGAACCATGAAGCTCAGCCCAGGGCGCAGTCACTCTCTGCTGCACTGTAAGCTCTCTCTATATGTGTGTGTATTTTCCATGTGTACAGTTTAGTGACACTAATTACATTAATCATGCTGTGCAGCCATCACCAATATCGGTTGCCAAATTTTCCATCACCATAAACAGAAACTCACTGCTTCCTAAACGATGACTCCCCTTTCCCCCTCCCTCCCGCTCCTGGTGACCACTAATAAAATTTTGGTCTCTATACATTTGCCTATTCTAAATATTTCATAGGAGTGAGAGCATATAATATTCATCCTTTTGTGACTGACTCACTTCACCCAGCCTAATGTTTTCAAGGCTCATCCATGTCAGAGCATGAATCAGGACTTCACTTCTCTTTATGAATGAGTAATATTACATTGTATGTATAGAGCATATTTACAGACCATAGTTTGTTCATCCATTCATCTGCTGATGGACATTAGAGTTGTTTTCCACCTTTTGGCTACTGTGAATAGTGCTGCAATGAACACTGGTATACATGGGTCTGTTTGTGTTGCTGCTTTTAAGTCTCTTGGGTATATACCCAGGAGTGGAATTGCTGGGTCACATGGTACTTCTATGTTTCACTTTTCAAGGAACTTCCAAATTGTTTTCCACAGAGGCTATACTAGTTTGCATTTCTGCCAGCAATGGACAAGGGAAGAGCCATACTTTTGTCTTACACAACTCAGTATCCCCAGCATTTAGCACAGTGCTTGGCACTGGGTCATCCCTCAGTAATTATTGAATGAATGAATACATGAATGAGTGAAAGGATGAATGAATGTGGTCCACGGCAGGTAGCTCCACAAGATACTGGGTGGTAAAGGCATACCTCATGGCTGGCTCTGATCTTGCAAAGCCTGTCATCTCAGTCCCTTGGTCTCTCTTTGCCCATCCTGCCCATCACTAGCTTCCCCATTCTCACCTGCGTCTTTCCCATTACTCCTGCCTCTTCCTGCAGCCAGAACCTTGGCCCTTGTGGTCATTAGCACTGTTCCGGCACTCCTCCTTCAGAGCACGTGATAGACTCCATTGCCCCAACCCTTTTGAAGTTATGCAAGGCCACGTGACTGGCTAATAAAATGAGAGCAGAAGTGATGCGTGTTACATCTACGTGGAAACTTTAGGAGCCAGTGTGTGGTTTGCAGCGTTTCCCTTTCTTACTCTGTGATTGTGGAAGCAAGTGTCAAGAAGGAAGTCCCATCAGTCTTTGAGCAATTCTACAGACCAGAGATCCTAAAGATCCATGCTAAACATGTAGCTCACGTAGGTTGCATGACATACAAACTGTTCTTTTAAGCCAGCAAGAGTTAGGGTTAATTGTTACTACAGACTAACCTAGCCCATGAGGCATTGGTGGTTCAGAGGTAGAATTCTCGCCTTCCATGCAGGGTAGGAGGCCTGAGTTCAATTCCTGGCCAATGCACCTCATGTGCAGCTACCACCTGTCTATCAGTGGAGGGCTGCATGCTGCTATGATGCTGAACAGGTTTCAGCCACACCTCCAGACTAAGAAGAGCTAAGAAGAGCTAAGAAGAAAGGCCTGGTGATCTACTTCTGAAAATCAGCCAATGAAAACCCTATGGATCACAACAGTCTGATCTGTAACCAGTCGTAAGGATGGCGTAGGACCGGGCAACGTTTTGTTCCGTTGTGCATGGGTTTACCACGTGTGAGTCCGAGGTTGACTTGACGCAGCGAACACTAACACCTTAGCCCACCCTGACTGATACTGCCCGCCACTACCATCACCACTACCAATTACTGCGCACTCGCTCCGTGTCAGGCGTTAAGCTTTACAGAGGTAACCATGTTTACTCTTCACAAAGCAAAAAACCCCTGTGAGGCTGGTGCTGTTATGATCTCCATTTTATAGGCAGGAAAGCTGAGGCTTAAGGAGGTTAAGTAATTAGTGCAGGGTTACACAGATAACAAGTGGTAGACAGAGGAATTCAGACTGCTGCAAGTCTGCATGAACACAGCTAAGCAGCCTCCAGTTTAAAGGAACCCCTGCTTCCCTCGGATTCCTTTATTATAGAGCAACCAGATGTCAAAAATGGCCTGAACAGGACTAGGGAGGGGGAAAAAGAGCTACACAGTACTGCTATTTCTGCAAATTTTCATACATTTCCGCAGGTAATCAGTCTACCCCACTCTTCCTCTCTTATTTTTATAACGTTCCTGGAATTATCTTAGATGTCAAGCATTTTAAATAAAAAGTTATATTGGGAAGTTTAATGAACAAAGATGATAACAACAATGAGAATGATAACGATGATGATCATAACAGCAGCAGCTCATCCTGATGGTTTACTGTGCTATCTCATTTAAATGTGCACGGCATTTTGAAGTTGTTATCCCCATTTTACGGAGGAGAAAACTAAGGACAGATAGATTAAGAGACTGGATCAGGAACACAAAGCTAATAAAGTTAGAGCTCAGACTCACCTCAAGACCTCTCTCTGCCAATCCCCTGCAAGCACATAACAGTACTACAACCACGGCTGACAGTAATGAGCTCACTTGTATTGAGAGTTTACTATGGGTCAGGGCATAATGTGGGTCATCCTTGTGACACTTGCAACACAAAAAGGCAGATGCTATTACCATGCTCATTTTATAGGTGGAAATATTACCCCATTTTCAGTAAATTGAGGCTTGGAGAAACGAAGTAATTACGTTGAACCTACATTACACATTGAGAGAGTAAATTGCATATGGTTATTCTCATTTCCTGGGTAACCTCAGTTTTCAAAACCCATCCATCCACCTCACTGAAACCAGTGAAAATGACTTCTTCTATTTCTCTAATGGACATGCAAGACCTTGGAGGTGCAAGGGACATCCATCCCTACTGCTATGTGCCCAAATCCCCCTTCAGGTACCAATTTCAGCAGTGAGTGGGGAATCTTTCTTGACTTCAGTTCAGCAGAGGCCCAGCCTCTCTGCTGGGCTGTGATCTCCTCACTTACTTTCCAGGAGCCACAGGTCCCACAGTCACCATTGCCTGTCTAGGCTACTCTCCATTCAAGCTATACACATCAACAAAACACTACACAATGTCTCCCGAGAGGAAAACTCAATTCCTTCCTTTGGTGGTTGACATTTTGTTTTCTTTTCCTGCACTACTGTTATTATGTTGGCTAGTTAGTCTCTTGTCTTGCTCCTGTGTTTGCCAGATGGCTTCTCTATTCATTCAGTCCTCCACTCTCTATTGTTCATTTTCATATTCCAGAGTATAGTTGCCTCGGCTAAGCTCTCGGCTGCTAACCAAAAAGTAGGTGGTTTGAACCCACTGGCTGTTGCTCTGCGAGAGGAAAGACCTGGTGATCTGCTCCCAAAAAGATTACAGCCTAGTAAACCCTAAGTAAACATATTCTCTCACAGTTCTGGAGGCCAGAAGTCCAAAATCAAGGCCCCAGGGGAGAATCCTTCCTTGCCTCTTCCATCTTCTGGTGGTTCCAGGCGTTCTTTGGCTTTTAGGTGCATCGTTCCAATCTCTGCCTCTGTCTCTTCACATGGCGGCCTCCTCTCTCCTCTTGTGCCTTCTCCCTTTCTATCCGCGTTTTCTCCTCCTCTTATACAGACAATTCACACTGGCTTTTGGGCCCATCAAGATAATCCAAGACGATCTCACCTCAAGATTCTTCACTTAGTTACATCTGCAAAGACCCTTTTTCCAAGTAGGGCCACTTTCACAGGTTCTGGATTGGATACAATCTTTTCTCTTTCTTTTTTTTTTTGGTGGGTAGTGGGGAGCACCATTCAATCCACTACACCCTTTTATTCCCCTCTTCTTTTTCCTCCACCCAACCCACCCTCATCTTTGTTTTATACTGAGGATTTTATTTTATTTTATTCCTTATGGGGGGAAAAAGTAAAAGGGTTGCTATGAGTCAGAATCAACTCAACGATTAGGAGATTAGGAGAGAAAGATTCTTAAATGCGGTATTTCTTTAACATTTGGAAAGATGCTGAACCTCACTCTTAACAAGAAAAACACATAGTAAAACTACATGGAGATACTATTTCTCATCTATCAGATGTGTAAAAATTGAAGTTTTATGACACTTGAGGCTATGGGAAACCAGGCATATTAGTACTGTTTTGGTAGAAATGCAAAATGGCATGTCCTTATGGAGGGGAATTTGGCAACATTTAGCAAAATTCATATGCATTTACTCTTTGACCCAACAATTCTACTTCTCAGATTCTATCCCAAAGATGCACCGGCAAAACTATGAAGACACACACACACACACATATATTGCTATATAAGATAGGACTACTTGCAATAGCAAAAGAATGGAAATAGCCCAAATGTTCAGCTAGAGGGAACTGACTGAATGAACTGGGGTAATCCACAAAATGAAGTATTTATGCAGCTATAAAGAAGAATGAGGAATATCTACATAATGCTTGAAATGGTGTCCAGAACATAAGGTTAAGTGAAAAAAAGCAAGGTAGAGAATAGTGGGCATAGTATGATTCCATTTATCTAAGAAAGGGATGAGACACACACACACAGACTTGCTCATATTAAAAATCAGTGAAAGGGTAAACCAAAAACTAAAAGGTT